ACTGCACTCCAGCCTGGACGACAGAGTGAGACTACGTCTCAAAAAAAAAGAAAAAGAAAAAAAGCATTTTAAGGCTCTTTTACCACCTCTGAGTTCCTGAATGGATTGGTTTTGTTTGTTTGTTTTGTTTTGTTTTGCTTTGCTTTGTTTTTGAGACGGAGTCTCACTGTGTCACCAGGCTGGAGTGCAGTGGTGCAATCTCTGCTCACTGCAACCTCCACCTCCCGGGTTCAAGTGATTCTCCTGCCTCAGCCTCCTGAGTAGCTGGGACTATAAGTGCACGCCACCATGCCTGGCAAATTTTTTGTATTTTAGTAGAGACAGGGTTTCCCATGTTGCCCAGGCTGGTCCCGAACTCCTGAGCTCAGGCAGTCTACCGGCCTCGGCCTCCCAAAGTGCGAGGATTAGAGGTGTGAGCCACCACACCCAGCCATGGATTGTTTTAATTTTAATTGTTATCACTGGACAAAGACTTGAGGTGACAATAGTTACTGGGTAATCAAGGTCAACTTTGGCATGGCCAAATAATATTCTGAACAGTATTGATTCAGAGTATTCAGTATTCTGAACTTTGTTGTTTTCTGATGAATGGAGATAGACCATTAATTTGCAAGTTGTTAGAACACCAGTGCCTTCTCTGTGGCTGAGTACATGGACGAGTGTGTGGTGGGAGGAGAAAGCAGCTCCGTCCGGAGCAGGAGCTGTCATGTGGGGAGCTGGCCCAGGCTAACGAGGGCAACTCGCACTGGCTGAGGGAACAGCAGGTCCAGGCGGGCAGCGCTGTCCAGTGCCTACCTTTCTGCAGTGCTGGAATCCGCTTGTCTGCAACCGTCCGCGTTGGGAGCTGCCAGCCACATGTGGCTGTTGCTAATGTGGCAGGTGTAGCTGAAGAGCTGAACGTTTGATTTATTTTAATTTAGTGGTTGTGTGTTGCCAGCAGCTCCCACCTGGGCTGTGACCCCATGGTCTGTGGACCTCACTCTGGCACCAAACTCTGAGCGGAGCTGCCTGTGGCCACCAGACAGTGTGGAGTGCCTCTTCGGGTTGTGTAGAAATAGGAAATGAGTCACCAAAGTAGGAGCTGTTGCTGCTGCGTTCTCTAGCGCACCTGCCTTGTCTGTGCTGCTCGGTGTGGAACACCTCTCGGGCGCTGACAGCGTCCTTGACTCTGTTGCTGATCTCCTTGGATTTACCTGGTCCATTTGGATCAGGTTCTTTCACCTATTCACACGAGCAAATACCACCTTAAAACCTTACAGGTTGGCTTAACACTTCCTGCCCTTTTTTTTCCTTTCTTCTAGTCTCTGCGATACGATACCAGCTATTTTGTGGAGTATTTTGCCTTGGATCTCCTGATGGAGGACGGGGAGTGCCGTGGTGTCATCGCACTGTGCATAGAGGACGGGTCCGTCCATCGCTTAAGAGCAAAGAACACTGTTGTTGCCACAGGGTAGGACTCTAATTCTACTTTATTTCATTTATAAAAATGAATAACTTTCATTTAGAGTTTCTTTATTTTAATGAAAATAGAGGCATTGTAGAATAACGGTTCAGACACAGGCCTTGATATAACCTTGTGAGGGTGATGGCCTCTCCCAGCCGTGGTTGCTCACCTGTAAAGGGTAAGGACGGGAGCACCTGCCTCAGGCGGCGAGAAAGCATGGCCCTCAGTAGACGGGGGTGGCTGCCATCAGGTTCACAGCTTACCTCTCCCGATTTTAGATGAGGAAACTGCGGCCCGAAGAGTCCCATGGGGGTTTCTGGCAAAATCCCTCTTGTTTTAGTGGGTACTGTGTTAATACTGATTCCTGGGATGGGTAAGTCCTTCTTCTCCACATAATGAAAATAAGTAACTTTAATTTTATACACTGTCAGTTACTTTAACCATTTTCAAAGTAAAAACTGTCAGTATAGCGAAGGAAAAAATCAGCAAAACTACAGGTTGGGAAAAAATATTTTCCAAACCTTATATCTAATAATATCTTAGTATCTAAAATAGAAAAAAAAACCCTACTAAAAACAACCTACTAAACCCTACTAAAAACCAACCCTACTAAAAATGGGCAAAGGACTTGAATAGATATTTTTCCAGAGGAGACAAACAAATGGCCAATTGATGTATGAAAAAATGGTCAACATCACTAAGCACCAGAGAAATGCAAATTAAAACCCCAATGAGACATCATCTCATCTCACTCCAGGTAGAATGGCTGTTACCAAGAGGACAAAAGAGAGCAAGTGTTGGTGAGGATGTGGAGAAAAGGGGACCCTGTGTGCTGTTGGGGGGAATGTAAATTAGTACAACTGTTGTGGAAATTCCTCAGAATTCACAGGACTACCATGTGCTCCAGCAACCCCATTTCTGGGTGTATATCCAAAGGGCGTGAAATCAGAAGCTCAAAGAGACACCTGGACCCCCATGTTCATTGCAGCGTTGTTCACAGTTCCCGAGATATGGAAAAAACCTAAGTATGTGTTGGTGTTTAAGGAAAATGTGGTGTGTATACGCAACTGAATATTACTCAGCTATGAAAACGAAGGGAATCCTGTCATTTGTGAAAACAGGGATGAACCCAAAGTCATTATGTTAAGTGAAACAAGCCAGGCACAGAATGACTGATACTGCATGTCACTTATATGTGGAATCTAAAAAAGTCAAAACTCAAAGAAACAGAATAGGACAGTGGTTGCCAGGGGCTGGGGGAATGCAGACTGCAGCGATGCTGATGAAAGGTGTGACTTCCCGTTACGAGGTGAACTTCAGAAGTTCTAATATACAACATGGTGGCTATAGTGAATATTATACAGCACGGTGGCTACAGTTAACATTATACAGCACGGTGGCTATAGTGAATATTATACAGCACGGTGAGTATCATTAATATTATAACTTGAAATTTACAAACAGAGTAGACCTTAGGCGTCTGTATCTCCAAAAAAAAGGATAATTATATGAGGTGATGTGAAGGGGGTGGCCTGCCCCTCCACACCTGTGGGCGTTTCTCGTTAGGTGGAACGAGAGACTTGAGAAAAGAAATGAGACACAGAGACAAAGTATAGAGAAAGAAAAAGTGGGCCCAGGGGACCGGCACTCAGCTTACAGAGGACCCACGTTGGCACTGGTCTCTGAGTTCCCTTTCTATTTATTGATAATTATTTTTACCATCTTAAAGATAAGGGAGTGGCAGGACAATAGGATCATTTTAGGGAGAAAATTAGCAGTAAGACATATGGATAAAGATCTCTGTGACATGAATAAGTTCAAAGGAAAATGCTGTGCCTTGATATGCATATGCAAACATCTCCACAAACCTTTTAGCAGCATTGCGCCAGCAAGTCCCGGCCAGCGAGTCCCACCTTATGCCGTAAGGTGGTTTTCTCCTGTCTCAGTAAACAGAGCATACCATCGGGTTTTACACTGAGATGTTCCATTGCCCAGGGAGGGGCAGGATTTTTAACCAGCAAGCTGCCTTCAGGCACTTGTTTAACAAAGACACATCCTGCACAGCCCAAAATCCATTAAACCTTGAGTCACCACAGCACATGTCTCTTGCAAGGACAAGGTTGGGGGTAGGGTCACAGATTAACAGCATCTCAAATACAGAACCAAATAAAGTCTCTTATGTCTACTACTTTCTATATAGACACAGTAACAGGCTGATCTCTCTTTCTTTTCCCCACAGTGATAGATGTGTATTAATTTGATTGTGTCATCAGTTCACAAAATATATCAAATCACGTTGTGCACCTTAAATATATACGGTTTTGGTTTTTTTTTTTATTCATCAATCATACTTCAGTAAATCGGGGGGAAAAAAACAAAATCCATAAAAATTTTAAAATTTTCGTTATAAAAGTAGTATATGCTTATTGGGGAAATCTTTTGAACAGCACAAAGCTAAAATACAAACAGGGCCAGGTGTGCAGTGGCTCATGCCTGTAATCCCAGCACTTTGGGAGGCCGAAGTGGGAGGATCACTTGAGGTCAGGAGTTCGAGAGCAGCCGGACCAACATGGCAAAACCCCATCTCTACTAAAAATACAAAAATTAACTGGGCATGGTGGTGCACACCTGTAATCCCAGCTACCCGGGAGGCTGAGGCGGAAAAGTCACTTGAACCTGGGAGCCGGAGGTTGCTGTGAGCCGAGATCGTGCCACTGTGCTCCAGCCTGGGCGACAGAGTTAGACCCTGTCTCAAAATAAATCAATAAAAACAAATGGAAGTCCCTTCCCTGATCCCAGGCTTCTGTCCTACCCGCACAGAGTAGCAGCCCCACTGGTGTGGCCCCCAGTGATGTGTGTGGGGTGTGCGTGAGTAGGGGGTTGTGTGCACACAGACAGCACTGAGAAGATGATGCCCGGGGGCTGCTGTGTCCATTCTGTGATCTCACCAGACAGGAGGTCTGGACGTGGGCCGCTGTGTGCAGTCACTGCTGTCTGTTGTTTCCAGAGGCTACGGGCGCACCTACTTCAGCTGCACGTCTGCCCACACCAGCACCGGCGACGGCACGGCCATGATCACCAGGGCAGGCCTTCCTTGCCAGGACCTAGAGTTCGTTCAGTTCCACCCCACAGGTAGGGCAGGACGCCTTGCCTGGCAGGCGTTCAGCTCATGTGTGTCTTGTAAGCGTGTGGTGCCTACTCATTGCTCCTCCATGGTTTTATGTGGTAACGTGGTGTTGAAGATCAGCTTTCTCAGCTCTCAGGTCCTCACTTCAATGTCGTTTCCTTAAGGAGACTTTTCCCACACTTCCCTTCCCCTAAGGCAGTTTGGGCCAGCGTTTTATGCATTTCTGAAGAGCCCTAAACCCTGCCTTGGTGATACTTGTGCCAGCAGTAAAGCAGGGATTGAGGCCAGGCGCGGTGGCTCACACCTGTAATCCCAGCACTTTGGGAGGCCAGGGCGGCCGGATCACCCGAGGTCAGGAGTTCAAGACCAGCCCGACCAACATGGTGAAACCTCATCTCTACTGAAAATACAAAAATCAGCATGGCGTGGTGGCATGTACCTGTAACCCCAGCTACTTGGGAGGCTGAGGTGGGAGGAATGTTTCAACCTGGGAGGCAGAGGTTGCAGTGAGCCGAGATCGCATCCCTGCACTCCAGCCTGGGCAACAGAGTAAGACTCCGTCTCAAAAAAAAAAAAAAAAAAAGTAAAGCAGGGATTGTTCAGTGTCCCTCTTCGCAACGAGGTCGTCAGCTCCTCGGGCAGGCAGGTCTTCTCATTAGCTGGGGTGGCCCATGCCCAGCACGTGGCAGGGTCTCCATCAGGGTTTGCTGAGTGAGCGTTCTGAGAGCTGGGAGAATGCCGTGGAACCCAGAAGCAGCACGGGCAGATTCCGGCTTTGTAGGAGAACACGGAGCTTCCGCGGTAATGGGGTGTAAAGTTAGGGCACAGCCGTGACAGAACCCCGTGTGACGTTCGGACATTGGGGCTCCGCCCACACAACCACTGAGGGAGCTTTTTGAGGGGAAGATGCGCTCATCTCGGGGACGTCTGACGGTTGAGCTTAGGAATGTGCAATTTGGAGACATTAACACAGAAATGACAGTTGAAGTCTTGAGTTTGGGGGAGGTTCTTCAGAATGAGTCAGAGAGAGAGACACACACACATCTGCCTCTTGTTTGAGGTGACTCGTCCTGGACTTCTCTGGGTTGCTTTTCTGACCTGTGGACGATGGAGACCCCTGAAGTGGTGCTAAAGAACCAGACCTGTACCTTCTCTTTCTCTGTCAGTGTCAGCTTTCTGGTCCCTGGAAGGGATGAAAATAAGAAATGAATTTGTTGTAGGTTTTTTTGTTTTTTTTTTTAAAATTTGTTTAGAGACGGGGTCTTGCTCTGTTGCCCAGGCTGGAGTGCAGTGGAGCAGTCTTGGCTCACTGCAGCCTTTGTCTCCCAGGCTCAAAGGATCCTTCCACCTCAGCCTCCCAAACGGCTGGGACTACAGGCATGCATTACCATGCCTGGCTAATTTTTGAGGGTTGTTTTGTTTTTGGTAGAGACGGGGTGTCACCGTTTTGCCCAGGCTGGTCTCAAACTCCAGGGCTTAGGCGATCCTCCTGCCTCGGCCCCTCAGAGTGCTGGGATTATAGCCATGAGCCACTGCACCTGGTCTGTTGTATTTTTTTATTACTTTTTTTAATCAATAGAATGTCACTGAGTCCCTGAATTCCCTCTGTAATTTGCTTAGAGCTCCACTTCTCATGCTTTGTCTTCAATATGTGAGAAGTAATGCACAGAAAAAAGAGCATTGAAACTTAGAAAATCAAAAGACAGGCGAGATGCAAGAATCACATTCTTGTTTTAAAAGCAAGATTGCCCTTTTTGTATACTAATAAAAATTGTAGCTTTTGAAGTACGTTTAGTTTCGGGTTTTTGATCTCCTTGGTTAAAATTCGAGAGCTAGGCATGCCCTGTTTCTCATCGCCGTGAGGAGTCACAGAGCCGCTGTTTGGAGCACAGACCGCCGGACTGCCCAGGTTTGGGTTTGAGCTGTGTCCTCAACTGCATGACTGAATGTTACCAAGCGGTAATTTGCTGTCACTGAGAAAGCGGGTAGTACTACCCGGAGTTGTTGTAAGACTTAAATGAGTTAACATGTGGAAAGCAGCTAGAACTGCCCCTAGCAAGTGCAGAGTGAATATTAAGTAAAATAATCATTATTACTGTCCTTGCCACTGTTTGGGTAATTTAGATATGAATTCTCCAAGCTCGTATTCTTAACTAGTTACCACAGTGTCATAGTGCAAAAGAGTGTTCAAAAATTAAAACAAAATTTGAGGCATCCAGCGTACACGGGGCTGTAATCAGAGTATCGGCCAGAGGTCTGTGGGCCTTTCTCCTCGCTGGGGACACTGCTCTGCCCCAACCTCTGCTGCAGCTGTCAGCCTCGTCAGTGCTTTTTGTTATCCAGACTTTCTACTGTATCTTAACTGTTCTTTCTATTCAGTTTTGCATATAATGCCTTCTGCATATCTTTTTCTTCTCTCCCCCAAAAAATATCTTGAAAAAAATAATGCATTTGAAATAGAGACCTAGCAATTGTTAGGTTATAAATGTTTGTGGTTTTTTGCAGGCATATATGGTGCCGGTTGTCTCATCACGGAAGGATGTCGTGGAGAGGGCGGCATTCTCATTAACAGTCAAGGCGAAAGGTTTATGGAGCGATACGCCCCCGTGGCGAAGGACCTGGCGTCTAGAGATGTGGTGTCTCGGTCGATGACTCTGGAGATCCGCGAAGGAAGGTCCGTGTCTGAGTGGGCACACGGGCCGGGGTTGCTTCTGTGAGTTCCAGCACCGCTCGCCCTCACCTTCGTGTGCAGGCACACGTGCACAGCCACCTCTCTCAGCTGCTGACAGGCGTCTGTTAGTCTGTGGTATTTTCTTAAAGACCTACATTTTGAAAATTTTAGCCAGTTTCTTTCTCAGATCTGTGGAACAGAGTTTCTCTTAGTGTGTGTGAGTATGTGACAGAGTGCGGGAGAGAGAGACGCACACGCAACCTGAAGTCGGCACGTGAGCCTTGGGTGTCGTGTCTGATGCCCACAGGTGTTTTTCGGCAGCTTTTCAAAGGGTGTGGGTTACTTGGCTTTCAGTAAAACAGTTTGCAGCTCTTTCATTCCTGACCCTGTTCTTTAATGTAATATCTGCTGGGATGGCTTTTGGAGGTTTTACATTTTTATATTTAAAAAAACAGAGAAGTCAGGCCAGGCGCGGTGGCTAAGCCTGTAATCCCAGCACTTTGGGAGGCAGAGGCGGGCGGATCATGAGATCAGGAGATGGAGATCATCTTAGCTAACATGGTGAAACCCCGTCTCTACTAAAAATACAAAAAATTAGCCAGGCGTGATGCCAGGCGCCTGTAGTCTCAGCTACTAGGGAGACTGAGGCAGGAGAATGGCATGAACCCGGGAGGCAGAGCTTGCAGTGAGCCCAGATGGCGCCACTGCACTCCAGCCTTGGCGACAGAGCGAGACTCTCTCAAGGAAAAAAAAACAAAAACAGAGAAGTCAAATGTTTTTCTGGAATATGGTGGCCGTCTGTACCTGTTGGTTCCACATGTGTGGTTTCAACCAGCTATGTATTGAAAGTAAAATTGCAACCTTACAAATATGCAGACTTTTTTTCCTCGTCATTGTTCCCTAAACAACACAGTTTAACAACTATTTACGTAGTATTTACATTGTATTAGGTACTGTGAGTAATCCTGGAGTTGTTGTAAAGCTTAAATGTACAACTTTAAATGAGGATGATGTAAAGTATAGAGGAGGATGTGCATAGGTTATATATAAATACTCTTCCATTTTATATTAGGGACTTGAGCATCTACAGATTTTGGTATCCATGGGGGTCCTGGACCCAACCTGCCACAGATACGCAGGGACGATTGTGTTTGGCATAGAGCCCTTTCTAATGCACTTACCAAGGACAGCCGCAGCAGGCTGTGATCCCTGAGATGAATGTGAGTTCAGGGAGGGCAGAGTTTTTGTTCTGGGTCTCAGCTGTGTCCCAGCACCTAGGATTGTCCTTTGCACACAGTAGATGCTTAGAAAAGATTTGATGAGAGGGTGAGCATAAATGAGGGGAAATTTTCCTCAGTATCAAAACATGTTGAAACTCACACGCTTCCAAGATGACGTATTCTCAGGTCTCCTGCCGTTGCCGTTCTCTGCCTTATGTGATGGTGTTTGTTCTGTCTTCCCAGAGGCTGTTCTCTGCCTTATGTGACAGAGGCTGTTCTCTGCCTTATGTGATGGTGTTTGTTCATCTTCCCAGAGGCTGTTCTCTGCGTTATGTGACGGTGTTTGTTCTGTCTTCCCAGAGGCTGTTCTCTGCCTTATGTGATGGTGTTTGTTCATCTTCCCAGAGGCTGTTCTCTGCCTTATGTGACGGTGTTTGTTCTGTCTTCCCAGAGGCTGTTCTCTGCGTTATGTGACGGTGTTTGTTCTGTCTTCCCAGAGGCTGTTCTCTGCCTTGTGTGACGGTGTTTGTTCTGTCTTCCCAGAGGCTGTGGCCCTGAGAAAGATCACGTCTACCTGCAGCTGCACCACCTGCCTCCGGAGCAGCTGGCCACGCGCCTGCCCGGCATTTCAGAGACAGCCATGATCTTCGCCGGTGTGGACGTCACGAAGGAGCCGATCCCTGTCCTCCCCACCGTGCATTATAACATGGGCGGCATTCCCACCAACTACAAGGGGCAGGTGATGGTGCTGGCTCCCCTCCCACAGCTGGATAGAAGGCTGGGACAATGGGGCCCACCTTGCAGTTGTCTCTTTAGATCTTAGAGGAAAAGACAGATGTTTTCTTCAAGAAAGTACTGTCTTGTTTTCTAGATTGTACTTTAAATTTCTATTACTGGAGGATGGAGGGGGCTTAATAATTTATTCCTCCTTAGTAAATTGTCATAGATACATCATTTGCAGCTTTTTCCATTTTATAGTTACTTTCCTATATGATCTCGTGTTATTTCTAATGATCTTGTACATCAAGGGATCTTTCTAATTCCTACCTTTGAGTGGTTTGCGGTTCACACAGAGCTTGTCAGTCACTTAGGCTACTTGTTGGGCAAGGTGGGCAGCAGCTGTTACTTTCCCTGCGTAGATGAAGAGGTGAACGGGGGGTAGAAGAGTCTGGAACATCAGTGTCACTTACTGATGTTCCTCCACCTGCCGTGCTCCCGGGTCTGAGCCGGAGCGCAGGTGGTGAGGGCCTCGGGAACATGGGACATGGGGACAGTCACAGATGCCAACATTGGGGGTCCCCTGCAGGTGGTGAGGGCCTTGGGAACATGGGACATGGGGACAGTCGCAGATGCTGACATTGGGGGTCATCTGCAGGTGGTGAGGGCCTCGGGAACGTGGGACACAGGGACAGTCGCAGACGCTGACATTGGGGGTCCTCTGACCTGCTTGTAACAGCAGGTGCTCGGGGCAGAGGGAAACGGGGGGACATTCGGAAGCTTCCCTCTGAAGAAGAGGAGCTATGGTCCTTCCCTCCCTCTTAGATATGGTCTTTCCTTCCCTTTTTTTCTTGGAGATTCAGTCTCGCTCTGTTGCTTAGGCTGGAGTGCAGTGGCACAATCTTGGCTCACTGCAACCTCCGCCTCCCAGGTTCAAGCGATTCTTCTGCCTCAGCCTCCCGAGTAGCTGGGATTACAGGCACTCGCCATCATGCCTGGCTGATTTTTGTATTTTTAGTTGAGATGGGGTTTCACCATGTTAGCCAGACAGATCTCGAACCCCTGACCTCAGGTGATCCACCCGCCTCAACCTCCCAAAGTGCTGGGATTACAGGCGTGAGCCACCGCGCCTGGCCTACTTCCCTCTCTTTCTCTGGTCTGCAGCACAGACACCCTGCTGGGGGAGGTGGGCTGGTGGAGGTACGGGCACCTTGACATTTCACCTGAAATCTTCCTTTCCACAGGTCCTGAGGCACGTGAATGGCCAGGATCAGATTGTGCCTGGGCTGTACGCCTGTGGGGAGGCTGCCTGTGCCTCGGTACATGGTGCCAACCGGCTCGGGGCAAACTCGCTCTTGGACCTGGTTGTCTTTGGTCGGGCATGTGCCCTGAGCATCGAAGAGTCATGCAGCCCTGGTAAGTGTTTTCTTCAGGAGCCAGACTGTCTGAGAAGGCGCAGGAGGTTACAGTTGTTTTTCTTTTTTTTGAGACAGGTCAGCCCAGGCTGGAGTGCCGTGGCACAGTCATAGCCGCCTCAACCTCCCGGGCTCGAGCAGTCCTCAACACCTCCACCTGCAGAGTCCCAAGTAGCTGGGACTACAGATGTGCACCACCATACCTGGCTAATTTAAAAAAATTTTTTTTTTTTTTGTAGAGACAGGGTCTCACAATATTGCCCAGGCTGGTCTTGAACTCCTAGACCCAAGCAGTCCTTCTGCCTCAGCTTCCCAAAGTATTGGGATTACAGACATGAGCCACGACCCCCAGCCAGATTACAAAGCCTCGATTTGTTACTGGAAATTTGCTTAGTGGTCATATAGAGGTAGTCTGGGTTTTTTCCCCTAGAAGTGATTAAACTGAGAAATCCGGAGGTTATATGGTGGTAATGTTGAGACTAGATAGAGGCTGGTTGGGGATCTTAACAATTAAGATGACATTTTTGGGGTTACATTTTTTTTAAAAAATTATTTTGTAGTCATTATGTTCTGCTTAGAAAAAGCACAATTAGGGGCCGGGCGCGGTGGCTCAAGCCTGTAATCCCAGCACTTTGGGAGGCTGAGACGGGCGGATCACGAGGTCGAGAGATTGAGACGATCCTGGCTAACACAGTGAAACCCTGTCTCTACTAAAAAAAATACAAAAAACTAGCCGGGCAAGGTGGCGGGCGCCTGTAGTCCCAGCTACTCGGGAGGCTGAGGCAGGAGAATGGTGTAAACCCGGGAAGCGGAACTTGCAGTGAGCTGAGATCCGGCCACTGTGCTCCAGCCTGGGTGACAGAGCGAGACTCCGTCTCAAAAAAAAAAAAAGAAAAAGCACTATTAGGAAGTTGTTATTTTTAGAGGAAGTTCATTACATATTACTTGCCTGATAAAAATCACTTATTTGCAATGAAATTTTTTAAATAGTTGGTGTGAATGAATATGTAACATGGTACTTAGAAATATAATTTAGGCCATTCTAAAAACAAAGTACAGCTAGCCTCTATTAGAGGAGAAGGGATGACTTATAGTGAACAGAATTCCCATCCTCTATGGACAGATTGGATTTCACTTGCTGGTTTTCTTTTCATGATAGCGTCAAATAATGTGTAGGAGAAGAAATACCGTGTGTGGGAGTGTGAGTCTCATGTGCACTAAGAACGGGACAGTTAGCATCGCTCCCACCTCCAGAGATCTTCACGGTGGTTATCCAGCCTCATGTGCTCAGAACAGTGTGAGGTGGATGGGACACCGGTGGATGTTTGTGTGGCAAGGATGGTGGGACCCCAGGCCCACATTCTTCCCGTTACCTTTCTCTGGTGTTAACTGTTTGGCATCCTTTCTGCTGTTTTAATAGAACAGGTGCTTTTTGTGTGGATTCAAGTGAAATAAAAACTAGGACTGCCATAACTTATAAACATGCCCGCTTTTATATCTGTAGTTAGAAAGGTACGGAGAGTATTAAAAAGGTAGCTTACTTCAGACACTCTGTCTCTGGATCTGACCACAGCTCGGGAGGGCAGCACACGCAGAGCTGGAGTCTTACCCCAAGTCGCTGCTGACCATGGGCGAAGGCGGAGTTCAGGTCCATCGCTCCTGACGCCACAGGTTGTGCTTGTCTCACTCCATAGCCCTGCACTTTGTAGCAGTGGGGACTGATACCACTTCTCTCAGAGCTATGTAGAAATTTTGAGCTTCTTTTTCTCTGAAAATGCAAAAAAAGAACATTTTGTAAGAATACCCTATACTTTACATCTGAGAAACCGCTCACGCATGCAGCATCTCACGCAGAATGCTGTGGAGTCAGACTCAAAAGGCTGCACACCTGTGGCTGTCTTGATACGACATTCTGGAAAAGGCACATCTAGGGAAGAAAAGGGATTGGTGGTTGCCAGAGGCTGTTTCCTGATTGTGCTAATATAGACACAGCTCTGTGTGTGTCAAAATTTGAAAAACTACACTAAAAATGGTGAGTTTATTTTACTGTATCTTTGTGCTTTAATTTTTAAAAATGAAAAGGAAAGAAAAAATGCTTGTAGCATCACCACTTCTCCCCCACTCCCCGAAAAAAAGAATACATACCTATATATATTTTTTAGAAATAGTCTCCCTCTGTCGCCCAGGCTGGAGTGCAGTGGTACGATTAGGTGCACGCCACCATACCTGGCTAATTTTAAAAAATATTTTGTAGGGACAGGGTCTCCCTTTGTTGCCCAGGATGGTCTTGAACTCCTGGCCTCAAGTGATCCTCCTGTCTCAGCCTCCCAAAGTGGTTACATGCATTTATACATGTGTTAAAGTTGGCAGAACTGAGGCTGGGCGCAGTGGCTCATGCCTATAATCCCACCACTTTGGGAGGCTGAGGCAGGCAGATTGCTTGAGCTCAGGAGTTCAAGACCAGCTTGGACAAGGTGGTAAAGCCCCGTCTCTACAAAAAATACAAAAATTAGCTGGGCATGGTGGCTCACACCAGTGTAGTCCCAGCTACTTGGGAGGCTGAGGTGGGAGGATTGCTGGAGCCTGGAAGGCGGAGGTTGCAGTGAGCTGAGATCATACCACTGCATCCAGCCTGAGCAACAGAGGAAGGAGACACTGTCTCAAAGAAAAGAAAAAAGAAATTGTAGAATGGTCCACTGAAAGAAAAAAGTCAATTTTACTGAATGATCAATTTTTAAAGCATTATAATAAAAAGGAAAAGAAACACCAGCAATCCCAGAAGCATTTGAGCAGGCCCTCAAGAGACCCACACCCTGGTCCCCTGGGGAGGCGGTGGGCGGGGCGGGGCCTGTTTGACTCCTGCATTTCATACCTCCTACCTTCTGCATGTATTACCTGTTGAAGAAAATATATATAATGTTATTTTAAAAACTTTAAAACTTTTTTGAAGACATCTTAGAAACACAAGGGTTACAAATCTTGGCTGTGCACAGTGGCTCACACATGTGATCCCAGCACCTTGGAAAGCCGAGACAGGTGACTCACCTGAGGTCAGGAGTTTGAGACCAGCCTGGCCAACATGGTGAAACCCCACCTCTACTGAAAATACAAAAATTAGCCAGGTATGGTGGCATACTCCTGTAGTCCCAGCTACTCCGGAGACTGAGGCAGGAGGATTGCTTGAACCAGGAGGTGGAGGTTGCAGTGAGCCGAGATGGTGCCAGTGCACTCCAACCTGGGCTACAGAGCAAAATTCCATCTCAAAAAAAAAAAATTGCAAATCTTGAAGTGTAGGTGAGAGCACACAAGAGTCCAAATCAGCAAGTGACTTTCAAGCACACAGCAGCCACCTTCCTTCCTCTGATGCGAAGGACGGTGGGGTGGCCGGCCCCTTGGGACCACCATCTGGAAGGTGTTTTTTTTTTCCCTTAGTGGAGTGACGTTTATATACACTTAATGTATCTAAATTTGTATACATTTAATTTTTTTTTTAAAAAACAGGGTCTCGTTCTTGCCCAGACTGGAGTGCAGTGGCACGATCTCGGCTCACTGCAACCTCTACCTTTCGGGTTCAAGCAGTTCTCATGCCTCAGCCTCCCGAGTAGCTGGGATTCTAGGCGCATGCCACCATACCCCGATAATTTTTGTGTTTTTAGTAGAAACGAGGTTTTGCCACGTTGGCCAGGCTGCACTTGAACTCCTGACCTCAAGTGATCCACCTATCTCGGCTTCCTAAAGTGCTAGGATTACAGGCGAGAGCCACCGCACCCGGCCTTCATTTAATTTTTTAATTTTAGAGATGACTTCTAGTTTATTCACTCTAAGATAAGTTAATGGATATCTACTGTGTGCCAACAATTTTGCCTTTATGTATGTTCTTTAAAACTGGCCCCAACTCAACAGATGGCCTCAGATGTAGGGTGGGCTGGCCGTGTGTTAGCTGAGAAGACTTTCGCAGTTTCCAAGCTCCTTGAGCGGCTGTGCTACGTATTTTTGTGTCATTCTAAATCCATTTGGTTTTTTAGAACGGTTTTGAAAAGTTAAATTCTAGCTTTTTTGTTTTGTTTTAGGAGATAAAGTCCCTCCAATTAAACCAAATGCTGGGGAAGAATCTGTCATGAATCTTGACAAATTGAGATTTGCTGACGGAAGCATAAGAACGTCGGAACTTCGACTCAGCATGCAGAAGGTAAGAGCCTGGACTCGCTCTGGAGTGAGCAGGCCGGCTGCATACCTGGCCCTGCACTGGTTTTGTTTTTTTAAAAATAGATTTGGGGGATGCAGGTGCAGTTTGTGTGGATGTACCGTGAGGTGGTGGAGTCTGGGCTTTTCACGTCACCCAAGTTGTGTATGTTGTACCCAGCAGATAATTGCTCATCGCCACCCCTCCCGCTTTTTGGAGCCCCCAGTCTCTGTTAGTCCACTCCGTGTGGCCACGTGTACTCACCATTCAGCTTCCACTTCCAAGTGAGAATGTGACACTTGACCTTGAGTCACTTCACTTAGGAGAGTGACCTCCTGTTCCATCCACGTGGCTGCAGAAGACATGAGTGCGTTATTTTTTTATGGCTGAGTATTTCATGGTGTTTATGTACCACATTTTCTTTGTCCGGTCATCCGCTGATGGGCACTTAGGTTGATTCCATGACTTTGCTGTTGTGACTAGTGCTGCGATAACATACGAGGCTGCACCAGTATCGAGGTAAACAGCAGTAGAACGTACTCCTCACCATATCAAGAATATGAAAGAGACCAGGAGGCCTGAACTATACAGAAGTGCACTTTTCCACGGTAAACAGCAGTAGGACGTACTCCTCACCGTATCAA